CCTCCAACATCTCTGGAGCACTGGCTGAGACTACAGAGCTGATGTATAAAACTCCCACCTTGATGCGGAGAGCCTGCCCTGATAACCCCATCCCCCATCCATGTACCAAGCCCCACCTCCAAATTTAGGGAAAGTACGAGTCCCCACGTTCCTCTGGTTTTGCTGATTAAATTAAGTCAGATAGCCTCCCAAGCCTCTGTATAGACCTGCAACCTGCCCGCATAACCCAAGGACTCCTGAAGCAGCCGCAGCCATAGGCCCAGCACCGTGGACTGCTCCCGAGGCTGGAAGAAAATGCCCCTTTACACGTGTACTCTGGGGTATGATATGTGACATAGGTATGCATGCAGTGCTCAACATTTTTTTTTTTTTGAGATGGGATCTGTGTTGCCCAGGCTGGTCTCAAACTCCTGGGCTCAAGCGATCCCCTGACCTTGGCCTTTCAAAATGCTGGATTACAGGCATGAGCGCCTGGCCTCAGAGGTATTGTATTCATGAGGCGAGTGATGATAAATGTTGGGAAGCCATGGATGTAGGGCGGCCGAGTGCCCTGTGTGAGCTTCCTGTGACTGCTGTAACAAACGAGCACAAACAGTGTCTTGAAATAACGCACATCTATGATCTGACAGTGCTGGAGGCCACAAGTCCCAAAGGAGTGCTGCTGGCCTCAAGCAAGATGACAAGTGACAGGGCTGCGCTCCTTCCACGGGCTCTAGCGTCTGTTTTCTCGTCTTCTGTTTCTAGAGGCTCCTGGGTTTCCTGGCTCACACACCTGCAGCGCCCCCACCCCGCCCACATCACTCTGCCTCGCTCTCATAAGGACTCTGTGATTACGTCATTGTGTCTACCTGGATAACTCAGGATCCTTCATTGAATCCCATCTGCCAAGTCCCTCTCGCCATGGTAACAGTCACAGGTTGTGGGGATTAGGACGTGGACATCATTGGGACCACTGCTCAGCCTGCTACATGTCCCTTCTCTGCTGCTCTGCTAAGAATAGTGAGAAGACCCTGCCCTGAGCCTTCACCCCCTGGGTCAGTTATTGGCTGGCTTTGCAAAGACCCTGACCTCGGCCCTGGCCTTCCCTCTTATAACATGCCTGGACGGACACGTACAGCATCCTCCCAACAGACCCTCAGATCTTCCTCTCCCTAGAGCTCCGACTCCACGGCCACCTGCCACTCAAAAGTCTGACTGCTCTCCTGCCCACCTCGCCCCCTCCACCCCCCGCAGGCTTCTCCAGCTCTCCAGAATGCTCCTCCATCCAACAGAGCTCACGCCCAGACCCGGAAGTACTCCTCCACTCCTCTCTCCCTGACCTCCCTGTTGGCCCAAGCTGCCATCATCTCCCCGCAGGGAGGCTGCACTGACATCTGCCCAATGACCTCCTGGCTTCTACTCCTGCCCCCATCCCAGCCCATTCTCCACAAGCTGCTTAGCCAGCAAGGGCACACCCTTCCTCCACGCCCTCCAACGTCCTCCCTCACTGAGGCCAAGACTCAACCTTTTATACAGCGACCTCCGAGGTCTGACCCCATGTGGCCCTCTTGTTCCTTCACAAGACACACCCATTCTCGCCTCAGGGCCTTTGCACAGCTCCTCCTTCAACCTGAATTCTTCCTCTGCCTTTCCCAAGATGCAGGTGGCGTCACCTCCTCAGAGAGATCTTCCCATTCCCATCCGTATCCCTCTCACCTTTATTTCTTCAGGGCACGATCTCACAGGCTCACTTGCTCAGGTGCATGCTGCCTGGCTCCCTCCACTGGAATGTCGATTCCCAGAGGGCAGGGACTTTGCTATCAGTGCTGGCTCCTCAGTGCCTGGCACACAGCCATGCTCCAGAAATGTATAGAGTGTTACGGGTTGAACTGTGTCCCCCTCCCACAAATTCCTATGCTGAATTCCTAATCCTTGCTACCTCAGAATGTGATTTTATTTGGAAATAGGGTCATTGCAGCTGTAATGAGCTGAGATGAGGTCATACTACAGTAGGGTGGCCCCCATCCAATCTGACTGTTGTCCTTACAGAAAGAGGAACCTGGGACACAGACCCACACACAGGAAGCACACCACATGAAGATCAGAGTTCGGCAGCCACAAGCCAGAAGCTTGGAGGGAGGCCTGGAACAGAACCTTCCTAGCACCTTCAGAGGGAGCATGGCGCCTCTGCCACCTTGATCTTGAGCTTCCAGCCTCCAGCACCGTAAGAATCCATTTCTGCTGCTCTACACCGCAGTTTGTGGTACTTTGTTATAGCAGCCCGGGAAGCTCACGCTGTGTGAATGAATGGGCGGATGCGTGCGTGGGATTAGCTGGGCTCTGGCTCCAGCCTGGCTCCCTCCAACCCTGTGTCCACTTCACTGTCAGAGAGAGCATCCAAGTCAACCACCTCTTACTTGTCAAAAATATGTTACGGTTTCCCCCTCACTGGTGGAATAAAACCCAAACCCCACAGCACAGCAGTGAGGCCCTGCACAGATCATCCTGACCCCACCAAATTTTCTAGACTCAATTTCCCTCAGTCTCCTTGCATCTTCAGAGGCTGTTTACCCTTGCCAAAATCCCCCATTCCTGACCATCCATCAAGGCCTGATAGCCCACTGTCCCTTCATCCCGCACTCCCCAGGAGGAATGTACCCTTCCCAAATCCTTCTTAAACACTCATGTACACCCTTCAACCCTCCTCTGCAACAGCTTCCGACACCCCCACCCCCTCAGAGCATACTGACTTCTCACTGTGTCTCCAAAGTCCTTAGTCCTCTTAGGCATGACCTACAGCTCAGACACTGCTTGTGTCCAGCTGTCTTAGCCAGCAGGCAGTGAGCTCCTAGAGTGGGCAGGCACCTTGTCTTTCTCATCTGTCACAGTGCCCAGCACAGGCCTGACAAAGGTGCCCACTGGGGGGCCTGTTTGACAAACGACAGAACAAAGCACAATAGGACCCTGTGGTTTTCCTGCTTATGTCTGACTCACTCATTCACCAAACATGAAATGCACCTTGAGCGCACGAGACCCTGTGCTATTTGCAGTCCCTGCCAGAGACCTGGTCCTTGTCTCACCCCTGCCTTCCAAGGGGCTTTGTGTCTTCCGTGGGGGGCCCTTCCTCAAGCTTAGCCCAGTGATGTAGAAACAGGAAAGCAAAGAATATGCTGTATTTTCCAAGGATATTTCTTCTGTCCACCACACACACACTCAGCACCATCCACACCATGCAAGCTCAATATAAAAACCCACCACGAAGCACGGAGTCACCACGTGCCCTAGGTGGCTCAATAAATGCCATGTGAAGGGAAGGAAACAGACCCTGCATGGCTTCCACCCCTGTGATTCCCAGATAGATGTCCTATTTTAGTGGGTTAACCACTACATCCATCTCCAAGGCACCCAGTCCTCCAGTGAGGGGTGAGGGCTTTGGACTCCATCTTCCCTCTAACTTCCGGTCTCCTGAGTCGGGGCAGATGGGGGCAGAATGAGCAGCCTCACTGCATGGCACAAAGAGCAGCTATGGCCTCTGCTGTGCTCTCAGCTGCCGAGTGGTGGCCAGAGGGCATGCCAGTCTCCAGCTCCAGGCGGCTAAGCCGATCATTACCCCAGCTCCACCACTCCCTGGTGAGTGAGGCAGAAACACCTGGGCTGCCTTCCAGGAGCAGCTCAACCAGGTAAACCCTTGGGCAGCAGGTAGAAGCAGGAAGCTGGTGCTTCCAGATGCCGCAGAGGCCCCCAGCCACATCCCAGCAGTAGGCTAGCTTGGCTGGGACATCCCCAGCTTGAGTGCACTGGCTGCCTGAGCCACACCCAGATCGTGCCAGGCCATGACCAGGCTTTGACCCATGCCCCTGTCCGGCAGCATCCTGCTGAGGTGACCCATTTTCCTGCCCAGGCATAGGAGAGAGGAGGCCAAGCTTGAAGAACCAGGGATCTATACACACCCATTTCCGGGACTCTATTGCCACATGAAAAGCCCTGGCTAATCATCACACAGGTTCCCCCAGCAGCCCATCACACAGATGTGCAAAACAGTGCTGAGGGGGAGAGCAGACCAACCAAAGCCTCCTCGCTTTCCAAGAGGTAGAAGTGAGACTTGAACCCAGGGTTGTGTGGACCCAACTCAAGCCACCCAGCCCTCACTCCACAGGCTCTCTGTAGCCCCCCTGCTCAGGGTTGAAGGGTCTTAGGCAACCATCCCACCCAGTCCCCTAGAGGATGCCTGCCCCCCACAACAACCTGGAAGGTGAGCTGATGTAACTCAAAGAGCACTGAACTGAGAGTCCAGAGGTCTGGGTTCAAGTCCCAGGTCCACCACCATCAGTACCAGCCCTTCCCTGCCTGGCCCCAGTTTCCCCACCTGCCCAAGCCCAGGGTTAGCCTGGCTCAGAGGGTTTCTGGCCCCGTTCCACACAGACAGGGCTCTCCATCAGGGATTCCCGAGTGTTTGCTTTTCCCCTACTCGTAACTCATGCATCTCACAACTTGAGGCAGCCTCTCCACGTGGGTCCTGACTCCAAAGATGGAGACCGTCCAGCTGCCCGCGGGGACAGGCGACCTGGCCCCCCGTGCAACCCCTAGATCATCTCGTGGGGTTGGGGCAGGGGCCGAGCCCTCGGGTGGGTTGGGCCGTAGGCTGCCGACTGGGGGGCTACTTAACCAAGAGGAGGCGACCCGCAGCGCTGCAGCCTCCCTGTCCCCGCTCCCGTCGAGGGCTCCCACCCAGCGCCGTCGGGGCGGCGCCCCGGGCCACCTGGGATGGACGCGCTGAAGGCGGGGACTCGGGGCCGAGCTGGACCTCCTCAGCTTCGCGTCCACGGGGGACAAGGGGGCGCAACCCGGCCCCCAGCATCGGTCCGAACTCCGTTTTCCAGGGGGTCGGAAGGCGGCGGGGGCGGGTGGGGGTCTGAAACTCGCGCCCGAACCCCATCCCGCGGGTGCTCCCGCCCCGGCGGTGACCCCGCCCACTGCGCCCCCTGCCCGCCCCCCCTTCGCGATTCCCCAAGATCACTGACCATAGTGACCAGAGCCGCCGGGCTAGGTCCCGCCCCAGCGAGGAGCGATCCGGTGCGGGAGGTGCCGCGGCTGGCACGGGCGGGCTCCGCCGCTGGGTCGGGTGGCGGGGACCTCGAGGGCGTGGGGGCAGCGGAGAATACACCCGACCGCTCCGCAAACCAAAGGTTAGACCTCCGCCGTGTCCCAGCAAGACATACGCCCCGCGATTGACGTCGCAGGAGAGCAATCAGGAGCCGGGTCGCAGGACGTCATAGAAAGTGGGTGGGACTTCACGCTCCTTCAGCCTATACTTTAGGGCCTATTTGACAGGATGCCTCCCCCTTTTAAAGACACAGAAAGCTTTTAACTAGCCGAGGAGTTAGCTCAACCCAGAAAGACAGGTTCTGGTTTGTAAAGGCTGAAGGGCTTTTGAGCAAACCGAAAATTGGAGTCTTCGGAAGGATTAGCTGGCCCTCATTAATTCCTAAACAAGGTCACATAAGTATAGTTTGCACAAGATCAGAGGATAGGCGCTTAGGGAACACGTGTCCAGTAACATTAAGTGTGGCTTCTATGTAATATTTTACCCCCTTCCAACTCATGAATCAGTAGGTTGCCACGCACTCAATTGATGTTTGTTGAATGAATAAATGTCCCGGATCGTTGACTCTGTGGCTCTGGAATTGTAGGGATATCCGTGAACCAGGTCTAGATGACTCACCTTGCGTACAAGCTCATTATTACTGCACATCAAAATAGGAATATTTATCATTCAAAGATTCATTCACCAGCCCTTGAGTCCTGGACGAGCTGCTTTGGGTGTGGGAGGGAGAGTCTGTAGGGGAGGGGGACTCAATGCACTGCATGCATCCACTTTAGAATATTAATATTTCCAGGAGCGTGTATTGAGCAAGTCCCCTTCCTGCTGCTGCCCCCCTCTCCCCACCACTGCCCCCACTTACTCCGTAAGCCCCAGGCACCGGGCTAGGCTCTAGGCAAACAGACATCTGAAACCATGTATAATGTCCTGGGTAGGGAGTGTAGAGCTAATGAAGGCTCCAGGCACAATAACAATAACAGCTAACTTTTTACAGTTATTTATACAGTTATGCAGAACACTTACTATGTATCAGGTGCTATCCTGAACTCTCCACAGAAATATTATTATTATTATTATTATTATTATTTAGATGGAGTCTCTGCTCTGCTGCCAGGCTGGAGTGCAGTGGCAGCGATCTCAGCTCACTGCAAACTCCGCCTCCCAGGTTCATGGGATTCTCCTGCCTCAGCCTTCCGAGAACCTGGGACTATAGGCGCACTCCACCACGCCCAGCTAATTTTTGTATTTGTAGTAGAGACGGGGTTTCACCATGTTGGCCAAGATGGTCTCAATCTCTGGACCTTGTGATCCGCCTGCCTCGGCCTCCCAAAGTGCTGGGATTACAGGTGTGAGCCACCTCATCCGGCCAGAATTATCTTACTTAATTTCCTCACAACTAGTTTACGGGGATAGGTCTTGTTAATATTATCCCTCTTGTACGATGAGGAAACAGGTACAGAGAGTTGAAGTTCCTTGCCTAAGTCCACACAGCACTCAAGTGGGATTCAGTCCCAGGCAGTGCAGTGTGAGTCTGGAGTTGGTTTTGAATTCACTCTGCACGAGACAACAGGGGCTGTGTTACCCACTCCTGCCCTTGACCTCCATTTGCTTTCGGAAGGTTTCTGCTTTCTTTTTTCTTTTTTCTTTTCAGCCAAGGAAGCCAGAAAGGTGACAGGAGAAGCCCAGTGCTGCTGAGCTAAGAAGTGGCCTGGCTGGGCTGGATCCCCGGATTCCTGACTCCCGGACCACCGCTCATTCCAGGGGATGTTAGGCTTCCCTCTGCGGAGGACTGGCTGAGCCACGTTCCATGGTGTCTGGGTGCGGGCATGGGTGAAGAGTTTCTGGCCAAGGCTTCAATGAGCCCTCAAGTTGGGCTGCACTAAGCCCTGGGCCCTGGGCCCACTCTCCGCCCTTCCTCAGGTCCCCAAGCCAGCACTGAAGTGTGGAAGGAGCAAGGGGCTGGATTCCCTGAGAGAATCTGGGCCCCTGGCTCTGGGATCTGCCACTCACTGCTGTGTGGCCCCAGGCAACGACCGGGCCCTCTCTGGTCTTCTGGTTCCTCACTCAGTGAGAGGATTAGACAATCTAGGTGGTTAAAAATGTTTTTAAAAATATAAAATTATATATATTTAGTAATGAAGCCTTTAAACACACACAAACACACACACACACACACACACACACACAATCTTATAAGCATCTCAGTGTATGTGTAATAGAATATTTCCTCAAATTTAGCTCAATTGCAGGGAAAATGTAATTTTAGTCTAACTAATCAGGATTCTTCGTAAGCTCTCTAAAGCCTGGTTAGAAGAGAAAAAATGTTGCAGAAGGGTTCTGTGGTTTTTTGTTTGTTTGTTGTTGTTGATGTTGTTGTTGTTGTTGTTGTTGTTGTTGTTGTTGTTGTTTGAGACAGAGTCTCGCTCTGTCACCCAGGATGGAGTGCAGTGGCGTCACCTTGGCTCATTGCAATCTCAGTCTCCCAGGTTCAAGCAATTCTGCCCCAGCCTCTTGAGTAGCTGGGATTACAGGCACATGCCACCACACCTGGCTAATTTTTGTATTTTCTTTCTTTCTTTCTTTCTTTTTTCTTTAGTAGTAGAGATGGGTTTTCACCATGTTGGCCAGGCTGGTAGCAAACTCTTGACCTCAGGTAATCCACCTGCCTCGGCCTCCCAAAGTACTGGGATTACAAGCGTCAGTGACCACACCTGGCCCTGTGGATTTTCAACCTGGGTCCATGTTTAAAATGTAGACAGCGTCTTTAGGGGCTGCTCATGGCAGGGTGTCCACGTATCCTGTCTGGACTGAATTTGCTCCCTTCTTCCTGCATCCCTTCTCTCTGTTGTCCAGGTGTCTGGGTGCAGGGGTCTAGGAATGGCAGCTGTCACTTCACAGATCCAGAGAAGCAGGAGGCCTTGGGCGTCCTATCTTCCAGCAAACGACATGGGTACCTGGGTGCTGGGTGATGGATGCCCCAGATTTGGGGGCTGGGTTCTGCTGCCCATGCCTCTCACAGTCTGGCCCTTCTCAGCCTGGTCAGACCCAGCAAGCTTTCCCGGGTTGACGTCATCCCCTCTCTGCAATGTGGCCCCAGCCCACCTTTCTCACCTTCTCTCCCTGACTTCCCCACTTGTCCAATAATACACGAGCTTACAGGGATGGCTTTAAGAGCCTGGACCCCTCCTCGTGCTCTGGCACCTCTACGTACCTTTGCTCCTCCTGGAATGTCCACTTGTCAAATACCACCCATCCTTCAAAGCCTGGCTCCTCATCCATGGGGCCCTCCCGGATTGCCCAGACGGACATGAATCCCTTTGAATGTCCCCACCACGTATGTCTGTTCTCCTTTGGTGCCGATCCCTTTGGAGGGAGCAGCGGGACATGGTAATTATGAGTGTGGGCAGTGAAGTCAAGTATGTTCGTGCCACCCTTCCCATGGCATTACTCTTTGAGCAAGCCATACCTCTCTGGGCCTCAGTTTCATCATCTGTAAAGTGGGAATGTTCATTCCTATATCAAAGATTACATGAGATGATAGTGAAAAGTACTTAACATTGTACTTGGCATTCAGTAAGTGCCTAATACATGTGGGCTTTGCACGGTGGCTATTCGGGGCCTGAGTCTCCTTCCTCCTGGTGTGACGAAGCCTGAAGAGGATAAGGTCACCATGAGGCCTGAATCTTGTGGCTTCTGTTAGCTAGTATAGATTTGCATGTGACAGGGGGGAGCCCCATCGAGGATGGTGTCCGCGTGTCTGAAAAGGGGGTTGTCTGCCATTTCCCTAGATCAATGGCATGAAGCTATGTCGGAGGGATTTCAGGCAGCCACACCACGCTGGCAAGAGTGGCCGTTTTCCTGATGCTGATTACACTGTGCTATTTTATTCACTTTGACAACGCCTTCCCCACCCTGCCAGCTGCGGGCAGAGTGCTTGGTAAGAAGACTGGGCCCCCAAGATGTAGAGCACTTCACCTCTGTGCAGCGTGCAGGCTCGGCTCAGACTGTTTCCTCTGCTGGGTGCTGGTACTCTCCTCCGGCAACCTTGAGCTGGAAAACTTGAGATACAAAGTCAAGTGTTGCTTCACTGCTGGGAAAGATCAGAAAGAGGAGGAGCTAGAATGAGCCCTCCCCTCACTGCTCCCAAGCCCCAGTCCCAGGAAGCAGAGCTGGGTGCTGGCGCTGTGGCCAATGGCTGTCCTGGCTCCCACCCTCAGGGGCAAAGGTGAGAAAGAGGCTTTTGTTTTTGAGAAAAGAGGATCTTTCTAGGAAGAACAGTGGGTTTAGGGGGATTAGGAAATGGGGAGGTGGATCTGGCTGATTAGGGAGAAGTTTCTGGAATCCAGGAAGGGTCAGAGCAGGTGTCCTGGAACAGAGGAGACTCAGAGTGCAGCACAGTGACTCCTCATTCACAAGCCACTTGTGGAACCCCGAGAGAACAAGCCTGTATTGTGTGAGGGAACTTGGGCCCTGGCATGGTGGAGACTCCTTTGTCCTTCCCTTAGGGGCATGTTTTGGGCAAGGGGTGTAGCCACAGGCAAAGGCATCCATTCAACACTCCACAAAGAGTTACTGGACATCTACCAGGTGACATCCCTGCATGAAACTGACAAAAGTCGCTACTGTCACTCAGCTTACATCCTCCGGGGAAATAACCTCCAATTGTTCTGCATTAAGTTGCCCCGGACCAGGCCACCTCAGTGGGGTTGGGGGTGAGGATAGGGAGGGAGTTCCCCCAAATAACTGAGGTTTAATTTTCCACCAGCCCGAGGATACAGGACATACAGTGAGTTCATTTTTGAGAGGAGAAACAAAAGAACTGTGGGATTTCTTGAACCCCCAGAGAGGGCTCCAGAGGAGGCATGAATGGCTTTTCAAGTGTGAGGCAAGGAAATCGGGAGGAGAAGTCATTTAACAAGGCTGGGTTAGGACCATGGCACGGCCCCCTCTTCAGCTTACCCACAGCCCCAGGAGGGTAATAGATAGGCCCATTTTCCAGCCAGCCACCCCTTTATGGGTTACCCAGGGCCTGGATTTTGAAAGCTAGTGTTTTTCAGTTCACATGACAAATACATGTACCCCATGCAGCCTCCTGGGGGCAGAAAACCATCTCTAGTTTCTATGGGAG